GCATGACAATTATCTCGCTATGGTGACACAGATAACATCATTTTGCATTATTACATCTCATCAAAGCCTCTCTACCATTGTCCAGAGAATAACTAGGCATCTGTTTATTGTTAAATATGATTGTTCTGTCGTTACCATTGAAAACGGTTTTAAAGAGATTTGTTGCTTCTTTCATTTACATTGGGGAAACTGTGTATTAAAAACTTTGAATGTCTAAGAAATAATCTTCAACATGACAAATTGCACAAAAAGACTGATTGCTCTTTCCAAAAAGAGGGTTTAAAGTGTTTCAAGGGTTCCAAACCATTCCACCAATAAATTCTGACTCAAACATAGAGACGAAGTTACAGTCTACATTTCTATAACCTATTTTATCACATATCACTCGAAACATTATCTGTTAAATGATTATAATGTAGCAGAAATGAGGAAATCTTAAATAAAAAATGCATGAATATACTCAGAAAGAACAATATATTTAATATTACAAGTAAATTGACAAACCTGAAAGACCACCAGAATGAAGTAAAGATCCATGAGAGACAATATGATATTCGTGGGTATCAATCAAACCAATTGCAATATGAACAACTGCAAGCGCTCAAAATATTCTGGGTCAAAAATCTCGGTAAAACAGATGAAATTCCCTTCGCCCGTCGGAAATAGCATTTAAAAAATCTAAAATCGTAAAAAGTAGAAAAACAATAAACAAAAATGAAATCAAGGTAACAGGACCCTACATGGCCAGGGAGACTCAAAAGGATATTCAAATAGTTTCCGAGAGAAATAAATGGTGAAAAAAAAAACGTGAATTGTTGCAAAACATCCAAACGATAAAGCGAGCAAGCGCAAATGGTCCTGGACAAATTTTTTTATCAACGGCAAGCAGTTTGCGTTGACATATCAATAGGACTCTTATATCCAAGAAAAGGATCCGCGCATCAATTTCTTCGGCGGCCCATTCAAAAGATAGATTGAATGATAGGACAACCCAGGAAGAGGTCCACTAGGTGACAATTCTGACAGTAAACACTGTAATATGACCGACTCTTCCTATTCATTTAATTCCTATTCCTATTCATTTTAAAACAATAGGATTAAAAGTCTACGGTCTAAAAAGGCTTTTTAATTACCCAGAGTTTTCTGCTGAACATTGAATTATCTATGCATACCTAGAAGGCAGGATGAGGGGGAGCAGAGGGACCCAGGATATAACGGGAAAATCCGTCGACAATCCAGTGTTTAAATAATGGGCTTAGAACTACTAAAACAGAGTCAGTCAGAATTTGACTAAATGAATTGTATTTCAAGCCGATTATACCGTATAGTGGGTATTCTTGGCGGGTGTAAAATTTGGACTTTTGCCAGCTCAAATGTAAGCCAATAATTTTTGCGTAATTTATTTTAGTGGACAAAGGGTTTGAGCTCTTTGCAGTTGAAAATTTGCAAGAGCACTGACTATTTTAGCGATTAAAATTTTTGCGGACTACCTTCAAAACGACAAAATAAGTTAAAATTAGCACCCTAGTACCTGCTATACGGTACATAAATTAGCGGAAACTGACCAAAACCAAATTATAATCGAATAATTAATTGAGGCAAGAATTAAAGCAATCCCTATAAATTCTTTTAAGTCATCATTTCGTAAGTTCTATGGTCGATACAATGACGTACTTTGTCAGCAAATACAATTTATCAGCGAGTCAAATACTCACTGACGTTTTTCATACTAATGGTTAGTTCATTTTTTACACACTTAATTGTCGACAAATTTTTCGGTTATTTCTCGATCATGACCAGGAGCATACGGCGGTTGTGACTGGTCAGCAGGGAACACATACTACTCTATGGCACCTGATCCCACCTCTGATGGTTTGGATGTCCGTGTCTGCTCCTATCTTGTATTGTTTAATGTACTTTTGAGTTTGAACGTACTCTTCATTATCTCCAAATATATCTCATTTATGTGCATTGCGCGATCAATACATCGTTCATTGCAGCCCGGAGGACCCGGCTGCTCTATACATACATCTGTATAAGTTTAAAGTTTGCTGTATGAGATTGAAATGTGAGAGGTTATTCGAGGTTATTCAGAATTAATAGATAACTATACATTAAAAAGATTACATGTCAAAATGTTTTCCCTTTATAAATGACGAGATACACAATATATTTCCATTAATAATATACATCTTTTAAACTGTATTTTGTTCATATGTTTTATTCAAATTGCTCATCATTTACTGTCCACAAAAGGACATGTACCTCTTTTAGAACATTCAATTTTTCTTTTCGCATAAAATGTCAAGATATACAGTGTGTTTTATATCCGTTGGGTCAAATGTATTTTTGATTGTAGGTGTTATATGTTTCTGATTCTAGTCAATTTTATGCAGACAGTTCGATTTTCATCTAATTAGAAGCTTTATGTAAATCTCTTCGACTTCAGTCACCATCATTCAGGCGCATAAGACTAATTTTCATTGTTTACTTCATTAATTTCCCGGGCGACAATTGTTGTTTTCTTGTATGGTACTTTGTGGGGTTGAACTGCTAGTATCGGCAAAACTGAATGTAATGGGAAGTTTTTATGTAGTCTAAAGTTACCCATCAGTTAAAATAGGAAATAATTTCATTTGTGGTTTTGAAGAGCTGATAGCTAGCTGTAGCTAGACACCAATAGTAAACATTTCCCGTATACACTGTAAATAAGGTCCCGTCTTTTTAGTGTAGCCTTAACTGTGCTGGAAAAAAATATGCCTAGTCGGGAGTCCCATACAAGAGATTCCATATTCATTGTAAACTTGATTTTATCAATAGATCTCCTATATTTTTATGCTTACTTAACGCAATGATATGTTCCGGTTTCAATAATTCCTTGTAATATATTCCAATAATTTAAAATACGTTTCTTTTTATCCTTTGACGCATGATGTGTTGATGTGTCTTACAAAACAATAGGAAGTAACATCACAAATTCGACAATAAAGAATTAGACACACAGGTTTTTTTTTTTTTTCGGAGAACAGGTCTTCAAACCATACGTTAATATTCCAAATACATGTAGACTATAATTGTATTCGTTATAATCAGTTTTGTTTTTGTTTTCATATTCATTACTAGTATTTAAAAACATCTACATGAAAAGAAGTCTTGCTGTTGCCTTCAATTCGATATTGAAAGGTATATCAACGACTTTTTGTGAATAAACGACTTTTATTTAAATTCATGTGATGATTTGATATATCCCACTGAACTCAAATGAAAAACAAAGATTCTAGTGTGCTGTTTTATATTGGTATTCTTGACTATAGAAAGAAATTGATAGCAAACTGACAACTATTTTTTTTAATTATTAACATGATTACTTCAACATTTCTACCGTCTCATTACCTTACGTATATAGCAATGTACCACTATCGCCTGCTATGAAGTATGTCTCCTAGTTAATTTGATAAGCTATAAAATTGTTGAAGGACAGATGATACAAACAATTTTTCTCTTTAGAGGAGACTTAATATCATGTCACAAGTTTATGAAAGTGGATAATTCTTAGAATTTTTTCTCCTAAGACCTGAAAAGTGAAATAGACTTGGAAAATATTATTAATATTTCAATAAAAAAGCAAATATAGACAAATCACATTCAGTAAAGGTTTACAGGTGAATTTCGGAATATCTTATCTTGGTACTAAAAGTGTAATATAAACTTTGGAAAAATATACCGAGCCGGGTGAATTTTATGAGGAAAAACAAAATGACAAAAAATCAACAATATCACATAGGCTGATTTTTACCATTTTGTCTTTCCCAATAAAATTAACCTGGCTTGGTATATTTTTCTAAAGTTTATATTACACTTTAAGCTCCAACATAACTTTTTCTGAAATTTATTTTCATCTGTAAACCTTTACTGAGAGTGTTTTGTCTATATTTGAAATTCCACTGAAATATTACTAATATTTTTCAAGTCTATATCATTTTCCAGTTCTTAGGAGAATTTTTAAAAAGAATTATCCCCTTTTCTAAACTTGTGACATGATATTAAGTCTCCTCCAAAGAAAAAAATTGTTAGTATCATCTGTCCTTAAATGGACTTCTGAAAATGAGCTCTGCTATTTTTATTATCTTCATATTTAGTTTTCAGCACCTCTAACTAAGTATGAATATTTTCGATTAACTTTGGCGATGTTTAAATTAGACTTTTAATTGTGAATTTATATAACATTTAACAACATAATGAACAAATCAAATATATGGAACACATCGAATCTCTAAATCTTTTATAAATTTTATTATTAAAAACAACACACAAAATAATATGGTTACATTATAAAGGACTCATTTATTAATGACCCACTAAGCTACTATAAAACAGATATATGCGTGATGCATTGGGATCAAAGAAAACAAATTCTCTTCCTTTTCGTCTGATAAAGTGATTAAAATAGTTGAAGATGATATTCAAAATTATAATTTTTGTTACTACACATGATTCAATCGATCCTTCATTATATGATAAGGAAGATTATTCAAGGATGTTAAATTACTTGGATCTCACTTCAAACTACTTTGTTGAGCGACACTTGCAGTAGATTATTACAATTCCAATCAGTACTAGAAGAACAACAAGTGGGAAAACGATCCATACAGCAAAAGAAAGAAGAAGAATTTTATTCATGTGTGAGTGGTAATACCTGTGAAATATGATAATGTTCTTAATATTTCAAAACTATTTGTGTTTGAAATTTCCCTAAAGATAGTAAAATCCTAACCCTGCTATTTTGATTTCTCAAAATATAGCATATGTAGATTCTTCTTCAATTTAATTATGAATTATATTGAACAAATTCAAGAAAACGCATTAATGAGTTTTTTTCACAGATAGGAACAACTGAAAGTGAAAAATCTTTTAAGTGATATTGTGTTCTATGACCACCGCTGGAGAATTACATGCAAGAAAATTACTCGTCATCTATTCAATGAATTAATGATATTTACATATATTCTTCGAACCAAGCACCACAAACGTCACTTCGAACCGTTTCAGATGCACGCTTGGTGATGTCATTGCAGCATTCCGTTCTCCTGATGCTATGAGCAATAATCTCCACACCAATCTTCTTCCACATCCCCCGGGATTATATTTTGGATTTCACAGCACTCTCCACACTCCCCATGCAAGTACTGCAAGTAAACGGTTGGATTAACATACATGTTATGCTACTTAACTTAGTGTTTGTAACTTTCCAAACAATCAATCCAAAATACATATGTATGCTTCTGTGTAAGGTTGTCTACATGTCCTTTGTTGGCAGTTAATTTTGAACAATTTTCTATCCTACAGAATGTGCCACTTTTACTGTGTTCTCCTTACAAATTCAATACAAACATTTTGAAATGAAAATTTCATAGATTAAGAAACCGAAGTTATCACTACTGTATCCCAAATGAATAACCTTAAAATGGCATTTAATGACTAAGAAACTGAATAATTATTTTTGAGTATTAAACATATGCACGTACATGTTTAATACATAAAAAGAAATTGCAATGAAAGATTTCAGTTTTTTTTATTTTAGCAATCCTGTGTTTAAAAAATATCTGTATAGTTAAGGACGTATAAATTATGGAATTATAGCATATAGGTACAAATACAATTAATTACCGATGAAAAAAGTGATTAGATATGTTAGAAATCTTATTACCAATTAAGCCAAGTGACCTGAAACACAGTTCGGAAAGAATTTCCATTAGTATCATCTACAGTACTACTGGAGGATGCTTCCATATGAATATGATCATTCGTGCCTTTGCTATTAATATTCTTGAAAAGAAGATTTTGAAAGTTTTCTCAAAGAACACATTTCATCTCATCTGTTAATTTTTTTTTATATTGATTTAAACACGTTCATTGAGATGAAAAATGTAAATTATACTCATATTATTCTCTCTAAACAAACAGACAGTACATTTATTTTATTTTCAATGGGAAACCCTATTATCAAATAAACCCTTATGTAAAAATGATTAACCAAAATATGAAGAGAGAGAGAGAGAGAGAGAGAGAGAGAGAGAGAGAGAGAGAGAGAGAGAGAGAGAGAGAGAGAGAGAGAGAGAGAGAGAGCAATAGCAATAGCAATACATTATGTTTAAATTTGTGCAATGTGTCATTCAAAATAACGGCAAATAAGTTCTTAAATATTGACAATGCAATCACTGGGTTGATAACAGAATAATTGCATTACTTACCGAATAAACTTAAAAATACAAAAACAAAAGACCACAAGTGATAAGAATTCATTTTCATTTGGTTCCTCTCTGAGAAATTCACTGGGATATTTGAAGATTACTATATATTCACGTACAACACTTGAATTAATTAGAGAAAATTTATATTGCCTTTGAAATTAACTGAATTGTATCTAAGCAGGTATCGGTTTTCAATAATTTCTTTCTTTCAAAGTCATTTTTAATCTTAGTAGTTCGACTTGCAACTATTGACAGGGTTGCCTGACTTATTTGGACTAGCAAAATATCTCCATATCATTTTTCTCTCTTACACACAAAGAATCAATTTTTACTATTGAATACCTTATCTTCAGATCTTGTTTCAACTGCAGCATTTAACTTGTAAATGCACACAACTTTTTCATGGTTTCAACTTCAGATCTAAGAGTAATATTTACAGAGATATTGATTTTTTATTTCAAAATATTTTCAGAACACACTTTTTGTTATATTTTGAGATGGCAGCTTAAATACAGTTTTGTGCATAAGAAATATACAATAGATGACATTGTACTTTTTGAAAGGAGAGCAATTAAAATCATTTCATGGCATATCTGACAATTTAGGAGGGTGCAGAGTGGTTTAGTAGATTACCGAGCTTCAGGTATAGATGTCTTATCACTGTCTAAAGACGGGGAGTACATTCTATACATGGCTTCACAATTTTATTCAATGAAATAGAACTAACACCTTTTGGATTGGCCATGGATGCAATGTGATTTTAACCACTTCAGATGATTTCTTCATCAACATGAGTTTAAAGACCTGGGGCTCGTAACATAAAGCTTGCTAAGTAGGGTCATAAGTATATTTTAGGCACAATCTTAGGACCTGTCTAAGTACTACTTTTGTATGTCTTAATCCGTAACACAAAGCAAACTTAGCTATATACTACTCTTTTTCTAGTTATAATATTGCCTAGATTCAGTTTTATTTTACCTGTATGAAAAAAGACAACCAATCAACCTCTTAATCTTTATCACCACAGACATGGACCAGTAATGCCTCCGTGCTTTGCACTGTGGGAGAAGATATTTTGAATTCAAATCTTAGTAAGAGTTTTATGGAACCAAAATAGTATAAACATCGATTAAATATCCCGGGGCGGGGCACCTCATTTGTCACATCAGCATCAATGTATCTTTGAGTTCCATGCAATTTACCATCATCACCTGCTTATGGAGTTTACATCTCTCATTTGATTCGCTAGAGCATGCCATACGTATGTACAATTTCTAAACTGAGGACAATTATTGACCAAGTACTTGATGAAACAAGGGTATCAGCAGTTTCGTTTAAAGTCATCATTTCGTAAGTTCTACGGTTGACACAATGACCTTGTCAGCAAATACAACTTATCATATTGAGTCATATGCTGACTGTTTTTCATACCAAGTGTTAATCCATTATTTATACACTGAATTGACGACAGATTTCCCCGTTAATTCCCGATCATAAGAAGCACACGGCGGCAGGGGATGCTCACTCCCAGGGGCGTAGCAGGGTACTTTTGATGTGGACGCCTGAATAGGCGGGTTTTTGGAAGCTGGTGAATTTTCAACGATTTCGATGTGCATATTTGACCCTTCTGATAGCATTTTTCTGACACTTAATCAGTTTGTTACGCAGCCACATTTGAGGTCTCTTCTTTCCTTGCACAAAATGCGTACAATAACTCAAAAATGAGAAAGGATATTTCCAATTGCGCTGTTTGACAAACCCACTAAAAACAATTTCAGACTTTTGAAGCTCGACAAAATGAGTATGGTAACATGTGGTAACATGTGGTAACATGTGGTAGTTGGTTAGAGTGGTTGACTGGTTTAGACAGACCACGTAATTGAATGATAGGCTTACATTAATGTTGAAAATACACGTCTAAAGATTGAAAATAACAAAGAAGAATTCTCATTTTCTTGCACATTCCTCGTACATTGTATAACATTTGTCAAATTTAAAAAAAATTGTTCATAGGTATTCACAAATCACATGAATCAGGTATCTTTTGCAACAATTATAAAAACATGTAAAATATAATATTGGTTTAAATTGATTTTAGATGTTCATATGTAAAGCTGAATTATGATTTTCAAACTAATTATTGTGTAATCTGCAGTAGAGAGACTCTTTAAGAGTGTATTTACACTTGGGGGAAAAACTCAGCAATATTCGATAGTAAACCAAAATCCGGGATTTCAGTGAGGTGTATACTATCGTATTTTTTATCGTTAATTCTAAATGTTTCTAAGTATTTGTTTTATTTTAAGATTATCTATTAATATTTGGCAAAAATTTGAGTACGCTTTACAATATTACGCCTGTCTCGTTATCCTCTCCCCCTCTCTCTCTTTCTTTCTTTTCCTTTTTTTAAAAAAAAATTTTTTTTTGAAAAATGACGTGGACGTTTGTGCGTACAAACGTACGCCTGGCTACGCGCCTGACTCCTCCACGGCACCTGATCCCACCTCTGATGTTTTGGAGGTCCGTCTTTGCTCTGCCTCTATTTTGTATTGTTTGATTGACTTTTGATCTCTGAGCTTATATACTGTTCGTTATCTAAATTTATTTCATTTAATCTCTGTATCATAATCAATAAAAGATCCTATATATATTTTTTACACTGAATTTATGAGTTTCTGCATGTAAGATAAGTTTGTTCAAAGTAATATTTCAAAGAAAAAAAGACCCTACAAAACATATTAACCATCTCTTTTATTTTAGTTTTATATTTTATAAGATAGTTTTTCCCTATATAGACGAAGACGTTTGGTGGTGTGGAAACGAAAAACCATACGAGCTATGCAAAAGAAAATTCACGGTGGCGGATCCTATGATTCTTTTCATCTCAACTGAAATCCTAAATTTACATACAGTAAAGAAGTAAATTATGAGAAATGCTGAAAGTTTTATTTTGTGTTTTGAATAACAGGAATTGAATAACTTTTCTGACAAGATATGATCGTAATGAGTAATTACATGTATACTGTACCAGAAAACATATGGAAATATGAAGAAATCATATTGTGAGCTAAACATAAAAAAAAAATTCGTTAAAATTTTGACTATAGGTTTATTTGACTTAAGTGTACCTTAGGCGTTTTTTTTGTTTTAAAAAAACTTGGTTGTTATCCAGCTTAAGGCATATATCGTATTAACTGCTTTTGACAAATTTTCTTGTAGTTCAGTTGTGAGTTAAATGAAGCAGGACTAGCATAGTGGATTGAAACTCAACTGAAATCTTCCAATCAAATCATTTTATCTGAAGTTAATCAGGTCGACATTTCAGCAAAGAATACCGGTAATTTACCAATCCAATTATTATCTGAGATAATAAATCATTATGACATTTCAGTCTCTTAAATAAAAGTAATCAGTTTTTTATACAAACAAAAAGTTTTAAAGGAATTTGTTAAAGAGATTTACTGTCTTTCACAGAGTGTTTACTGTAGCTGAGAAGGAGGGTTACTCATTCAAGCACTGATTCATTGATATATACCCCCCCCCCTTCCCTCGTAGGATATACTGTAGTCAAATATTTGATTTTTATTATACCCCCCGCTTGAAAAGCGGGAGGGTATATAGTAATCGTTAATTCCGTCCGTCCGTCCGTCCGTCTGTTACGCTTTGGGGTACACATCTCTTATCCGCAACTCCTTTCATACCACTGAATGAAATTTGATGAAACTTTCACAGAATCTTTATTACATATTGCCATTGTGCACCTCCTATTTTACTTTTTGATCCGACACATATTTTGGGTTTCACGGCCACAGCAAAACATGGACTTTGCCATTATAACTATATGGAGGCGGGGGGTATCATTTAGTGAGCTCATCGCTCACAGTACCTCTAGTTTATGTTTAAAGGAGATGCACTTCATTAACATGCACTTCTTTTGACTTAAGAACGTTAAATGCAAATGCTTCGTATGTAAAAGAAGTCCCGTATGTTCCTGCAAATCAAAACGAAACAAGAATCGATATGGAATCCTAACAGCAAACAGTCGTTGTTAAAGTGAAAGAATAAAAAGGTAAAATGCTTCTTTATTTATTTATTTTTTTATCTTTATATAAGTCGATAGATTATTATAAGAACTAGAGGTACTGTGAGCGATGAGCTCACTAAATGATACCCCCCGCCTCCCATATGGTTATAACTGGTGAAAAAGTCCATGTTTTCCTGTGGCCGGGAAACCCAAAATATGTGTCGAATCAAAAAGTAAAATAGGAGGTGCACAATGGCAATATATATGTAATGAAGATTCTGTGAAAGTTTCATCAAATTTCATTCAGTGGTATGAGAGGAGTTGCGGATAAGAGATGGGTACCCCAAAGCGTAACAGACGGACGGACGGACGGACGGACCCACGAAATGCAGGTTATGTGACTGACAAATTTATGTGACTTTTTCCAAAAAAATTATGTGGCGCAAAACATGATACATGGGGTAAGGGAGGTAAATCTCAAAACCTTTTGACGGACGTCCATATACGGACAATATTGTCCGTATTTTTTTATGTGACACTTCTTTAGAATGATTTTTTAAGTCACATAACACTCATTTCTGCTAAAAAAAATCAAATTTGTATGTGACAGTCACATAAAACAAAAGAGTCACATAAATCTTAAATGGGCACAAAAACTGTCACTTAACCATTATTTCGTGAGAACGGACGGACAGACGGACGGACGGACGGAAGGACGTACAGACGGACGGACGGAATTAACGATTACTATATACCCTCCCGCTTTTCAAGCGGGGGGTATAATAATATAAGGTTATTTCTTATTGATACTCAAAAACTTTATTGATTAAGCAATTGCAATGAACATGATGAAATTCGGTAGATTTCAGGGAGATAACGTTCTAGTAATATATTTATAAATTGCAGAATATCAATATACATCTATACTAAATTGCAGTCAAAAAAATATTTGATTTTTATTTGTGTTTAAAGGAGACATACTTCATAAACACTTCTTTTGACTTTAGACGTCAATTAAATGCATCATCTATTGAAAATAAAAATGTCCCGTATGTCCCTGTAAACCAAAACAGATACCAGCTACTATAATGCAGTCAAAGGAATGCTAGATTTTTATTTATTTTCTTGCCTGAAAGTGTCAGAATCTTTATTTCACAACTTTTAGGTATATTCAAAGATTCAAAATCTTATTTATTTCTTTACATTACCAATCCGGAAGACAAATCCCTATGGTTGTCAATGTGTCATTTTGAAAGTGAAATATAAACAGTGCAGAATTTTTTTCTATAAATCTATGATTCATTTAAACTTATTTAAAAATATCCGTTAAATGTGATTTTTTAAATTTTCGTTTAAGGTCAGATGACACGTTCCTCAAATATATTTCTTTTGTATCTCTTAATTGGTATTATATCAAAACTTATTCATATCTGTCATTCTATTCTGATTTCTACATTGTTTTCAAAATGTTTTTAAATATAAGTACATCAAAAAGTTGTGATATAATAGACCATTCAGAAGATAACCCAGAAGGGTTATATGAGAGATATGACCCTGTGGTATCTGTCCAAACGCCTGGTAAGGTACCCTAATTTTTTGTTAGGTAACTTGTTTATTTTAAGTACCTATACTTCAATGTCAAATTCTTAGGAAAAATTATATATTTTTGATAAACGTGTCGTCTCACTTTAACATAAACAAATCTCAAAGACGGAACATTTCTGATTTGAATCGGGATCGGCATTTAAATAATTTTTTAAAACTTAAAATGAAAGTAGAGATCGTCGGAAAACAGATAGTTTGGTTAAATGTTGATTAACGTCTTTGAATAAGAAACATGATAAATCTACAGATTATTTATGAAATATTTTGTTGAAAAAAGTATGGTCCTGCAGAATACATTAAGAAGTATGTATATTTAACGTTTTCTTGAGCCTTACAAGTTTGACTTATTTTAGAGCACTTATCTTTTTCTGAATAGTATGACTTATACATGTAGTCATATAGCTGATAACTTCTTCTCAACCATCACGGGCACTGGAAGTTTAATGTGAATATATAGTATGTACATGTATAAAAAAGAAGGGTAGGACGCTCTTTTTGAGGCAAATTCGGGTTTGGGGTATTGTGTGTGAGCCTTTCTCAGAGGACTTGACGCGATTAATCGTTCACATATAACTTACTTTCTCAATAAATGTTCCGTTTTGTTCCGCTCCAAAGCCCTTCCTTCGAAGAAAAAGATGTTTTTATACATGCACATACTATAGATACGTACATTAACTGCCAGTGCCTGTATCAACCTTTGAAAATCATTTGCCCTAATATCAGACTACATGTATTTTTTTTTATCAAACCATACACGTGGGCAGAGATAAAAATGTTATATATGTCTCTGACATGGATAGATTGTTAAAGTAAACACCAAGTATTTCTGAGCAATATAGTGAGTGTCCAATGTCCATAAATTCTTCTGTTCCCGGGTTCAACCTCCTCCTCTTTTTTAAGGAGTGCAGATATGCTTGTGTTAACATTATCATAAAAATTATTCCTTTGTAATTTAATAACATGTAAATTAATAAACTTGAAAAAATATGTTGTATAAATGAATAATTTTTCATTATCAGTGATCATTTGATATTGATAATTTGAAAGATTATATAAAATACACATGCAGTGTGAGATTTGAAAGTAAGTAAACATTAACAATAATGTGCATGAGATAAGAGATCTTAAATAGTAAGTTGTGAATCTCAGATTATAGTGTACATGTACATTCTATCTTTAAAATTATATGGTCCTATTGCCCTGCTCAATCACTATGTTGCATGCAAGCTTGTCAACTTACTATATGTTTATTTTATTCTCAATGTCATGAAGATTAACAGTAAAGTTTGCTCTTATCACAGTTCCTGGGCTGAGAATTGAACTTAATAGGGGTTAAAACAGAATATTTAAAGAAAAAAAATCTTCATGTATTTTCAAGTGTTAGGGGACATTTGATCATACTAGTATTTAAAATTTGAGAGTACCTATACAGAGCAGATTCAGATTTGTATGTCCAGCGCAATAAAACAGCTGTTGATTATGTAACCACTTGTTAAATGATATTTGATGTTTTTGTTTTATATATATTTCAGAGTTACTAGCCGGTGTGACAACAGTGCAGAGAATTAGTTGCTTTGCCACATCAGCTCTCCACATGAATGATGTCAAAATATCAGTAGTTCCACATGAGGCATTAGTGGATGAACGTGTCCACATCAAGGTGGATGGCTTACCAAAGAATGGCCCTGTTACGATCAAAGCCTCTCTACAAGAGGGTAGCAATAGATTTGCATCATATGGTTGTTACACAGCATCAGAGCAGGGTCATGTGACAGTGGAGGATCAAGCTTCTGTACAGGGGACATATACAGGTCTGATGTGCTCATGATCACAATTGTCTATCTACATCTGATTAGACATTTGTTTATGCAATATCAAATATTGTATAAGAGTCATCAAATTTTACATATCAAGAGAATTAAGCAAGATTTTTGTGAAAATTTCAATGCAAATTTTATGTAAAAAAATTTTTATGAAATATTTTTTATCAAGAGCTTTTAGTAAAATTTGTTTGAAAATTTCTATGCAAATTTCATGTACCTGGTAAAAAGTTTTAATTTGAATTTCATCTGAAACTCTTCCTCATAGTGTCATTTCTCACAGTGGCGTATTTTATTGTGTAAGTAAATTATTTTAGAGGTAAGCCCTGCATGGGGACATCAAGTTTAAAATTTAAATTTAAAACACATCAGTTTAAAACACATTGTACTGTATGCGTACTTCCCATTTCATTACATAAAATACAGGTTTGGAGCCCATGGGTTTATTTTGGAGTATGAAACCTGAACCGTCTTCCCGACAGAACATAAGATTTCTGAAAAAGGATGTGACTTCTCCTATTGTTGTGACATTGTCAGTGATTGAAGGTCACCACTCTTGGGAAACTTTGTTTGATCCACCCCCGAAGCCTCTAGCTACATTAGATGTATATAGATGGTACAAAGACAGGAATGTTAGAAGAGAGAGAGTTAGCAATGGAAACATCAGGGGAGCACTCTTCATTCCCCCTGGTAAGTTTCAATACATTGCGTATTTTCTCTGTATATTGATTTTTATGTCAATAATTAGGTACTTTCCCTTTGACAGTAAAACATATTGATTTTTTTACATAGTGTATTGTAAGGCCATCCTTAAAAAATTGTTTTTTTGCGGTAACGCGACCGACTCACCAAAATCCACCCGACTGGATTTTTTTTATCGGTTCAAAAATCTTTTTTTTTAACGTACCCATTTTCCGTTTTTATCCGATTGATATTTTTTTTTTACGTCTCGGTTACACCGACGCTTTTTCTTTCCCCCAAGTACTTTTAAAACGTCTTTGTGATCTACAAATGTAGAGATGGCGTCCGAGAAGGTTGCGGGAAATATTGACTCTATAGTTCTGTCAGTTACAGTAAATTTTAAAGGAAAAACATCTTAATTACTAGGCAAAAAAAAATATAGTACGTCAGTTCCACCTTACAGATACATGGTATGATGTTTACGAGATCGCCACAAAATTGGTGGCAGACAAAATTCCACGTGGGATGATTGCGGATTTACAGCTAATTAATAAACTATCAAAATCTTAAACCTCGTAAATATCACACCCCCGAAACACTAGATTAGTGTGGAGTCAGTTATTTGAGGTACGTGGCTGATGAGAGTCACTTTTTAAGAAAAAGTTTGCCTAAAAAGAACTGATGTGTTCTGATATTTGAGCAATAAGAGATTGAATTCATTTAGAATGCTTTAATTTTCCTGTTTGATAAGTAAGGTGAAAATTGAGACATAATTAATACCTCTATATCATCGAAATTTATTTCTGACATTTTGTCTCAAAAAAAAAAAGCCTACCTACCTACTCACACCTATAATGATGAGGCGCGTTACCGCAAAAAATAATTTTTTTAAGGATGGCCTAATTTTCAGTATTTGCAAGATGTCAATGAAATTAATTTTGAATTATATGAG